CATGTCTCAAAGAAGTTCTCACATCTACTGCCTCTAAAATTCTTAAAGATATATCGTTGTATCAGTAGGCATGCAAAGCACATCATACTTGGTAGTTGGTTGGTACAGACAATTTTTTTTTACTTTTCTGAAATATCATCCAATATTTTAAAATTTTCCCTTTTTTTGAACACTTTTATATTTTTTGAAATGATTTCAAAACTTGATCCAATTTATAATCTTCCAAGGGCAAAACAAAATATTTCCTTCGGTTTAATTTTCCTGAAAATTGTAAATTACAAAATTGATGCTAAAACACATACATTGCTCTTGAGCTTTTCATCAGAGTCTAAGCCATGTGGGATCTGTTCTTTGTTAGTAAGGCTTAAACTTACGAGCAGCTCTAAGTTGTTGTATCCTCTTCTTGTCCTGTTCGAACTTACTCTGAAGCGCCAAGATTTCTGTTAACAAACAAGAAAACAAAAACCACAAATCAATCATCAGAATCAGAATCAGAATATATACAACAAATAACTCGAAAAACCCAAACCGAATGCCCCTGTCTACTTGTGATTATGCCACAAGTTATAATGTACGAAGCTTTGAATATAGAAAGCCAAGACTTACCATTGCGTTGTGCTTCTCGCCTTTGGAAACGGTAGAAACCATGAGCAACAGGCTCACTCTGTTTCTTCTTAGCTACCTGATCCTCCAAAGCGGTTTGATTAACAGATCCAACGGCTATTCCAGATTCAGGATCTGTTGTCTTTTTCCTTCCTTTGTGATGCACGACCACAGTCCATCCACCTTCTGCAGCTTTAGCTTCTCGGTCTTTTCTCTCCTGTTCAATACACATGACAAGAACGATGTAGTCAGTAGTCACTAGACAAATATACATGAATGTTTATAATGTTGGAGAGAGAAAAGAACCTGTTCAAGGCGTTCTTCATGGTCAGTCATGAAGTCATCGATTCTCTTTTGTAGCTCGTCCAAACCGGGTCTACTCTCATAGTAATCAGTAACCCACTCTGCAGTTTCACAGAGAACTTATCAGCTTATGGCAGAAACAGATTCAAGAGTTTTCAAGAACCGTGAATACAGCAGAGGAATTGATCATATGCAGACTAATAATGGAAGAAGGGTAGTCTTGCATACTTTTCATTCCTTTGGAGCAATCCTCATCGCCCGAAGAAATTTGATAAACATCTTTCTCCTCTTCAGTTTCGTTCATCTTTTCTGAAGACGTTTCATTCTCTTTTGTAGAGGACCGGTTCGTCTTTCTCTTCTTGTTTGACTTCTTAGACTTGCCTAAAGAAAAATATTTAGTCTATCAAACAAGCAACGAAACACACAGTGACTGCACCAAAATTACAAAATTTATCAGATATTTCATGAGAGGAAACCTTTGAGATTACGGTTTCTTGTTTCAGTTTCATTACTAGCCATGTCAGCATTCACATCTTCACTGGAACCCTTATCGCCATCAACTGACAAACATAAGGAAGAATCACGACAACCTCAGATTAACATCATATGACAGTAAACTTCACATACAGCTAAAGAAACTATTATATGAGAACTTGAGACTAGTTAAAGTTCCTCGTGCAGACCAACACAAGTGAATATGAACACAAAATATATCTAAATTCTAATGCACTCACACACCTTCGCTTTTCAAATGATCGTCTTCATGATCAACAGGGCCACTATTTATTTCCTCGGCCTTCCTTTTATTCTTCGTCTTATTCAACTTACTCTTATTTCCTTTGATTTTCTCTGTAATGAAAACCAAAGATACTAAACTCAATATACCAGAACATCTATCGCATGGAACCTCAATCTGCGCAAGAAAAACCCTTTACCTTCCGAGGTAATTTGAGAAAGTTCGCTTATATCAACGTTGCCTCCTTTAGCTTTTCTCTTCTTTTGCATTTTCCCATCAGCTGGAGAGCTACTAGTCTCCTCCACTTTCCTTTTACTCTTCTGCATCTTCTTCTTCAATTCGACTTTCTTTCCTTTGGTTTTCTCACTTGAAATAGCTACAAGAAACAAGATACAAATTCAACATCAGAACATTTTATATACACACAATCTGTTCAAGCTTTGTTTAGTATGAATTTCTAAAATCCATCAAAGCCAAAACTTTCACCTTGAGGAAGTTCGCTTAATTCGACATTGCTCGTTTTCTCTTTCTTCTTCCTCTGCATTTTTCCACCTCTCTTTCCATCACTTTCTTCTGTATTGATTATAAATTGCAGAAAGATGGATTCAAAACTTGAGGAATTAATCTTACAAACAAATTAGATCCTTTGTAATTGAGTTTAAGGTCGTTCCAAATTGAAGCTTTCAAATTCCGAAACCGAATCAATTACCCTAAGAAGACAATCTACTACACAACAGCGTACGAAATCCTGCAGGTGTGTCACAATTCATAGGTTTTGTAAAGAAATATAGCAAATTAAGTGGAATACGAAGATTCTAATGAGACAATCGAAAGCGACAAATTAGACTTTACCCTTTTGGATATTTCTCTTCCTCAGCTTTCTGGTCTCTGTCATCTTCTGCGCCCGTCGTGAGAGATTTAGAAACTTTGTCGGCGATTATCGGCGAGGACGCTCTCGGAAAAAGTCAGGCGATGACCAAAGATTGTAAATTAGGGTTTTGGCTTTTGTGAGGTTTTCGATTGCAGGGACATATACGTATGTCACAATAAACCGGCCCATTCCCGGTTTAACATTCAAATAAATCGATTAGGTTCGGTACAGCTCGGCTTGGTTACACAAGTAATCATAAAAATAAACCGAACTGAACTCGTTCCAAATACCAAGTTCGGTTTATTTGGTATTAAAATTCTATGATTTTTATTAAATTCGGTTTGGTTTCATCAATTTCGATTTGTTTCGTTTGTTTTTTTTTTTCCCAACCTTATCCGCAAGCTCCCGGGTAAGAAGAAAGTTATTACCATACGTTACTTATTTCCCATTCAATTCTGATTTGAATCCTAAACTAAAAATTTCCAACTATTTTTGTTTGCTTTGAGTGTCTCTGACCATTTTTTTTTTTTTTTATCATTACGTATGTCCATTTATAGTCACCCTGACCATAGTTATCGCATATTTTTCAAGATTAGAAAGAAAACAAATGTTTAAGACTTTAGGTTACTTTTTTGTCGCGTTCGATACTTTGACATAATTTTGTCGTGAAACAATGACTTTGCTCAGGTACTTACCAAAGTATTGGGCAAA